ACCCCTTTCTATCCTTCGCTCCAAGCGCTCCTCAAAGCCTTGCAATCAAATATCTCCAGTTCAGCTACCAAGCGAGGTCATACATTCAAGCCCAACTCATATCAGACTCCGTGAAACCTTGGTATATGTGGAATGTAATTGCGGCTGGAGTCCCTCCGAAGTAGAAAGCATTTGTCTCATGGTTGAGTTCGTATGTAAAACCTCCTATGACATAAAATCAGCCAGGTAATAAGCCTAATAGTTCTCCGCTATCTCAGTATGTATTAAGTCTCTCTTCAAATCTTTCCTTCAGTATAGCATTTTTTTATTCGCTTAATCCAGGCTGGTAAGATACACGGCTTGTAAGCTGTAAGCGAGCGAGGGTATGAATGCTTAAAGCTCCTTTGAAAAATCTATTCGTGAATTGTTCTTGTTGTATATTCTGCAAGTAAACCGAGTGGATGTGTGCTGGATGGATGGAAAGGTCTTTTCTTCTTTTATATGTATAATTAGAGGAAGCGTTGATTGGTCTTGTATGGTTGTTCCGAAATTGGTGATAAGCTCGTTAATAGTCTGCATGGGCTGCGCGGCACCAGCTGGTATCTCGCCTCCGATACATTGTAGATGGGTAGATAGCCAAATGCGGATTATTGCACTCTTGATTGTCTTTCCCTCTTTCAACGTGTAGTTTTCGCAAGCAACAGTGCAGCCCTCGGTTGAGTAGCTGACTATCTGCAAGTTTCAAGTTCGGCTCTTCTCCCCCTACCCCGTTCCCTCGATGAAATTTGAATAACTAGCAGCTTCGAGCTTGAATGTGTGAATCATGGGGGTGTTTTCCAGTGTATCGTCGAAATGTCATTATCCAAGTCCTATCGTCTAATCCTCCGCGCCCGTCCTAAGATCCAGCATCTTGTGAATAGAATTTTGTTTCTTCTTAACGCCAGTATTGACACAGACATCGAAAGCCTCAGGCCATGATAGTAACACCATGCTGATAGCATATCGTTGGAATCTTTGTGGACCTAGAAGCGCATCGATAGAAAGCGAATGGGTATATTGTCTTTTTATCTCCCTCTTTTCTAATAACATGGACTTTAAAGTGACAATGGGAAATATATGAAAGAAAGAAGGAAGAAGAAAACTCCTCGAGGAAATGTCTGTGACATTGTAGGTTCTCGAAAGATGAGCTCATAACAGATAGTGCTTCATATGAAAATGTAAATCACGATCACCTCTAAAATCAATAGTTCTCATCATCTAGATTCCAACATAAGAGACTTAGTTAACTGTCAACCTGTTCTCGTAGACTTACAATCAGGCCTGAATAAAGTTTACTAAGCCGGGAAAAACAAGTTTTCCAATTTAAACGGCTTTGGAAGCTAAACGCAAGTATTCGGAGAATAAATCGGAATATACTGCGCTTAAACTGTCGATCCATCCAACCGCTTATCTGGACATGGGAGAAATGATCTTTCGCATTCAAAAATGACAAGTGTACTCTTTAACTTAACGCGACCGTTTTAAAACGAATACTCTAGGCTAGCAGAAACTTCATACTAATTACATAAATAGGAGCAGTAGCAGTGACTTCTGCAAGCGAAGACCCCACACTTCGCGTACTCTTACCTACGCATCACCTTCTCTTGTAGATAGCGCGGCGAACTAATCACTAGCTTCATACTATAGATTTACCTCCAAAGACTCTAGACTTTTATTTCCGTGGCCACCCTTTCCTTATCAGGCATACCGAGGACGTGGGGGTGGGTTTGGGGAGACTGACATTTCGTTGATAATCAAGCGAACAAGCACAACTGGTACTTTTAACACTTTTCAATACATGCTATCTGAATATGTTCTCATTTTGAGTTTGAACTCGTGCGACCAATACCTCACTTCTTTGGTCACAAAGCAGACACTAGCACTATCATGACTCCACCGTCCATTATCGTGAAGTGACTCGAGTGTATCTCTAGAATCTTCACGAGTCAATCTCAAAGACAATGACTTATTTTACTCCACCCCGTTTTATTATATATAGGAGAGCATCCTCTCTTCCAATATGTTTTCTCTTCAGCATTCTTCAGCATCGAAGCACAGGGATTCAAAGCCTTCCATTCATTAAACTCTCTCTCCACGAGTTCAAATTAATCTCACAATATTCTCCTCGTTGCCTCCATACACCTATTTAAGATATCGATGCGCAACGCAAACCCGACCAGCCAAAGTGCCTTGACAGACTAATGTCTTTTTAATGTCGAAGTTCATCGAAACTATTCTATCAACCCAACAATATTATTATCAAAGAGGAACCAAATTAACATCGCTACCTGGTGAGGAGTTCCATGCTGCATTCAATGAGATCCCATGCTTACTTAGTTATGCGAAACTCAGGAGGCATAGGATACCAAGAAACGTTGATCGACAATCTCGGCGATCACACATAAAGGCGACGTAGCATAAGGGATTATGACTTCCAAACTTCAGGTAGGTTAATATTTTATATTTTCTTCGTCCCTCTCGTCGGCTTTCTAATTTGCTTGTAGTTCATGTTCTGATTTACCGTGTGTCCTTTTTAGTTTTGCGAAGTTTGCGATGGGTTCTAGCTTTTATACGTTTTTGAGATGCAATATGTCTGGATGTAGGCACCAGAAGGGGAGCAGAGACAAGTCGTTTGGAATTTTGGCAAGCGAGTGCTAAAAGAGGATGATGCCAAGGGAGACACGAGGATGAAATGAAGATGGGATTTATCTCAAGGGGTCAAGAGTCAAGGGTCAAGACGCAAGACTCAAGGGCGATGTCTACGTCATCATGCGATTATCGCTGACGGTGCCTTGAGGAGTTTTTGCGAAGTTTGGTTGGAGAGTCAGCTAAGCAGCTGAGGCTAAGCTGCCAGGCATGAATGACGTCGTTAGTGTGAGATTCCCCTATCGGGGTCCCGTAACTCCCGTCAAAATAAATGACCCTGCTAACCTTTTAGACTCTAGTGGGATATTCTATTTGCGTGTGGGAAAACTTGGATTGGCATTAATTGGAATTGCCCAACTGGAAATATTTTATATATTTAACTTCAGATATGGCATCAATAAAAGTAAAAAGTAATTAAGCAATACTTTGCACCAAATGCTAATATTATGTTTATTTTATTTTGTTTCATTCGCGAATTTATTCTTTTATTCAGTCAATCGTTTTCCTCTTACAGGTATTATTCCGTCAAAATGTAATTCAGTTCAATCCAATGCAAATGCAAATGCAAATGCAGTCCAATGCAATCCATCCATCCATTCTTGAAATTTAAATTGCATCTTTTTTCATCCCGTTTTCCTACTTTTATCCTGCCAATTGATTCAGCCTATCACGTTCCTCGTTTCAGCTCAGACCCGTAGCAAAACAAAGAAAAACCATCGTCATATACCCAGCACCACATACCCAGCACCAGCTCCTTGTCGTCATCAGTCCCTAGAGTCACTAGGCACTAAGTTTCTCGAATTCATTTGTGCAGAGATTTGAGTTTGCTGGGGAGGAAAGTAAATAAAGTATTCATGAAGTATTGATCTTTGATATTTGATATTTGATATCAGATCTGAATTGATAATCAATCTTTTTTGGCACAACTTGTACGATCACGACCTACCTTAGTAACTTACCTACCTACCTACTTACCTTCTACTTTTTGCGTTGTTTAATAAGCAATCAAGTTTTGAGTTTACTACCTTTTATCGCCCAAATTCATTGTATTGTATTTATTGTATTGTGTTGCGTTGCATTACATTACTTTTTATTACCTTACCTGACATTACCTACCTACCTACTTTACAGTCATCACTCAATCCCAATCACAAGATTCTACACATAACCTTAAACACAATCTTTTCCTAAGACTTTCACATCCACTCAAAAACTTCCGACCCCTGCTTATCCTTCCTACTTTCTCCCCTCCCTTCTTGTCTCACTGGAAATTTAATCCATTTTACATCTTCCTTCATCCAAATCTCAGAATTCCAGAAATCCTGACATTTTAGATTTGCTCATCAAATTTTCCGAAATATTTACTAAAATGTCTTCCATTTCGCAGGCTATTAAAAACGCCCTCCATCGTGGTACGTTTTCAGAGTCGACTACGAATCCAAAATTTACAAACGCATTTGCATTTGCTGCCTCTGTGCTTCCTTCACTTTTTTTTTTTCTCAAAGTCAAAACTTCAAATACTGATCATGAATTTAGGCAAGGGAGGTGCGAAGGCCAATGAAGAAAACACCAAGAAAGCTTCGCCTGTGGCCCCAACAGTCGCTCAACATTATGCTACCAAATCAGATCCGAACGTAATGGCCCATCAAGCACATCAAGTACCGGGAGGAGATGCATACTCAGCTGCGAATGAGGACAATAGACATAGAGGAGTACAGGCTGCAAATCAAGCAGCACACGCAGCAGGACAACACCAAAATGCCGGGACCAGAGGAGTCAATGAAGAATTGGCAAGAATAGTGGCAGAAGAAAATGAGAACAAAAACAAATTACCAAGATACCCGGGGCTCGAGCGATGGCAACTCCTGGAGAAAATGGGTGATGGAGCATTCAGCAATGTCTACAAGGCCAGGGACCTGGAAGGGAGAGTTGGAGACGTGGCAATCAAAGTTGTCCGAAAATTTGAGATGAACTCTAGTCAGGTAAGTACCTATGGGATCTTTCTTTTTATTGGCTCTTTATGCTTTCTTGAACCGTGCCAACAATGTATGGTAGGGCGATGCTCATCTTCATCCAAACTTTAACAAGAAGCAACCCAAGGGCGTGGAGGTGCGGAATCATTTTTCATCTATCCTTTTCAAAAAAACATTCCACGCAGTGTCGATCATAGCTAACTCGACGTGATCTTCACAGAGGGCAAATATTCTCAAGGAAGTTCAAATCATGCGAGGTTTAGATCATCCTAATATCATCAAACTGATCGAATTTTCCGAATCCAGACAATACTATTACCTTGTGTTGGAGTTGGCACAGGGTGGAGAACTATTCCATCAAATTGTTCGACTCACTTATTTCAGTGAGAAATTATCAAGACACGTTATTACTCAAGTTGCCGAAGCATTACTTTACCTTCACGAAGTGCAGGGTGTTGTCCACAGGTGAAGAATCCCCCCTCCCTTCTTCCCCACCCCACTTTTGTTCTTGATGATTTGGTAAGCAGCATCACTGACGTCATTTCACAGAGATATCAAACCGGAAAACATTTTATTCGAACCAATACCATTTATTCCAACCAAAAATCCAAAGCCAAGATCTGCTGAAGATGAGGATAAGGTTGATGAGGGTGAATTCACCCTTGGCTTGGGATCCGGTGGGATTGGAAGAATCAAGATTGCCGATTTTGGTTTGAGTAAGGTCGTATGGGATAGTCAAACCATGACCCCATGTGGTACCGTCGGATATACCGCTCCAGAAATTGTCAGGGATGAACGATATTCGAAAAGTGTCGACATGTGGGCATTGGGTTGCGTTCTTTATACCTTGCTCTGCGGCTTCCCACCATTTTACGATGAAAGTATTCAAGTCTTGACTGAAAAGGTGGCCAGAGGTCAATACACATTTCTCTCCCCATGGTGGGATGACATCTCGAAGTCTGCGCAGGACCTTGTCTCACATTTATTAACTGTGGACCCCAAGAAGAGATATACAATTGAAGAATTTCTCCGACATCCGTGGATTCGAGGTACCGATCAACCTACATACGCGGCGCTTGACGCCCCCCCAAATGCTACTCCATCTGTTGAACGTCAACTCAACTTGGGTGGTGGCTTACGAGCCTTCAACCCCGATCTTTTGGAGTCCCCTGGTGCTGGCAAACGTATGGATTTCCGTAGCCCTGGTGCTGTCAACTTACGTGAGGTATTCGACGTTGGTTATGCTGTTCACAGACAAGAAGAAGAAGCCAAGCGCAAGAAGAATTTCAAGCAAGGTTACAGAGGGGCTGCCGCCATGAACCCTCTCAACCCTATCGATGACGACGAAGACTTTGATGAGAGCGACGAGGGTGACTACGAGGATATCGGTGTATCTTCCAAGGTACCAAAATCTGGGCAATCAGATGTTGCACAAGTCGGCGAGACATTGCGAAACACGAAATTGAACTCAAAGACCGCAGTTCCGGCCAAGGGATATGGACAGCATAGTCCTACGATAACAGCAGCTGCAAAGCAACAGGTTAGAACTAAAAATGGCCCTTTCGAACTCAACCTCGATGGAGCAACTTTACTTGGACGTCGCCACAAACAGGTACCGCCAAGTAGTCTGAGGGAATCAACGGTCGTGCAATAGTCACGGCCTTGGGAATGGTGGAATCTACTTGCTTGTTTTTAAATTTCATTCTCGTGGATCCGGGTCTAAGGCACTATTAACTCCGTTCACGTTTCAAGTGGCAATATTGATATGGTTTCGCAACTTTGCTTTCACTCAACGTATCGAGAGTCCGGCGGTAGCTAGTGGCCATCATTTTCTTACTCGTCTACTTCCGGCGCGAACTTGCTTGTCGAACAACATGGAATTGGGTTGACCAAGCAAGACCATCCGAGAGCCACGCCACGTTACATACAATTCATCATACGGGAGGGTTTATTTGTGTTTCTCATTCGTTGGTTCACATTGGCGTCTGGAGATGGAAATAAATTTCCGGGTTATATAATGCGGTGACGACTGATGGTAATCAATGGGCTCTTATCGTAGTTTGTGGGGGGTTTTTTTTCTTTTCATGGGAGTGCTTCATTTAAAGACACTATGTTTACTGACCACACGAGGCTACGAATATGGATAGTGCTGGCTGCAGCAGTACTATCCTAATGTTTTAGATCCTTATTATTTCATTCTCTTCTTCAGGTTCGGGCTTTATGCATTCAGAGATTTTTATGCGTTAGGGGTTGGTATGGATGGCAGATAAATGATGGTGGGTTAGTAAATAGATTAAAGATCAATGGAGTTTTAGTATATATTATTTTGTATGTGTGTGTTTTTTGTGATGTAAGTGATGTGATGTGATTTAGGCTAGGTGGTCAAAGGTATAGGTTAAGGAGATCAAGTGGTTGGAATATTATAATCTTACTTTAGCTCTTGACTAAAGAAGGAAATCTCTTAGAGTTTAGAATTGAAATGAATGAATGGATGTGGGACTGGGAGTGGTAGGAAAAGTATTAGTATTAGTATTAGTATTAGTAGGAGTGGGAAGTAGTGGAAGGAATAATTTGAGACTACTACCTACTTCTTTAGAGATTAGATTGAAGTTACTTATTTATTAAAAAGAAAAGATTAAATGGTTAGATGATTAGATAGTTAAAAGGATGGATGAAAGAATGGATGAAATAGAAAGGGTTAGAGAGCTGGTGGGGGTAGTGTAACGATACTGTACTGGAGGCAGCGGCTGCCTAAGGTTTCGTCTAGTTGGTAGTTATGGGTTAAGGCTTTATCACTAGTATTCACTTGGAAGTAAAGTCGTTACTAGATCAAGTAGAATGTAGGTAAACTAATTGATAACTAAGTTGAGCACGAAGCTCCTAAACTATGAAAGTATTCTGATTATATAATGAACAATAAAGGGAGCCCCCAAGAGCCTTCTGGCTCCTCAGGGCTCCTAGGGCTCCTTATCATGTGATTCCTTTCTATCCCAGGACACTAATCCTAATGGTGAATCGTGACACAACAGTTCAAGTTGTACGGAGTAGTATGTAAATTTATTTATTACTTTATAACTTTTTATTGTTCTATGTGATAGCTCAGTGGTTAGGACTTCTCACTATCTTTTCAATGTGTCAAATGATTTTCTCCTCAAACAACAAACTGTAAGCAAACCTACCCTGCGTGAACTAAACTGGTGGTCGATGATCAAAAAAATCTCCACTTATCCTTCAAGACGCTGTATTTGAACGTTATTGGGAATCGTTAGGCTCAATATGGCAAGAAGGATTGTCGGGTTTAAAATATCATGAATCGTAGCTCCAATAATAAAACCCTCTTCACCATTATAGAATCACTCAGCATGCGTCACATCACTGAGAAGTCGTTATGTGCAAAACCATGATCGATGTTCCTGCAGGGACTGGTCAATCAAAAGCTCTTTCTAAAATCCAGGCTTTAGACCAGGGACGCTATTGTGCTCGATAATGACGCTGTCAGTCTTTATCAGTTCTAGATTTCTTGGGTTTGAGTACCGGAGGTCATAAGCACCACACAATTCGCGTCATAGACCGTTACCGGAATCGGGATTATTATGCTCCTAGTTTGGAAAATCACTATATAACCATACGAGTCAAGGTAGGATTTTAGGGTGTCTGCAGCTTCTCGATACACTTAAATATCCGGTAGATGGTGAGTTAAGGCCTGGTAGTCGTCACATTTACAAAATCAGCTTGAACGAACTCAAGTTCATGAATTATTAGAACACTTGAACTATCAAGATCTGGATCTTTTCAATGCCCCCCGCCCGACATTTGGAATCACGATGAGTTGGTACTTGGCTGACATCAGGTATGATGCGTGATGATGCTGTGAGAAGCAAATCAACGTAGATCGATTACCGACTTCAGAGTTCAAACTATTGAGATAAGCACCAAGATACAAATATTAGAACGGTGGAGAATGGTAAGGGGTTTAGTAGCTACTTCATGGTGTATTCATAATGTCATCAACTCAATGTTGGACTACAGATGAGGATTCATGGGCGTCATGATTCATTCAGGCCATCGGAGTTCATGTGCTCGTTAATTTCTGTCTCACATAGCCCTAAGCCACAGCAATACATTCGATCTCGATTGGAACACCCTTTGGCAATTGGTATACTGCGACGCAACCTGCGGCAACTTCATTAGCATATTTCATTCTCCTACAGACGTCATTCAACCCCGTCTCCATCACCACCCATCTGCCTCTCCCCTCTTCGTGGAAATGGTAAATTAACTCACTTCTGGCAGGCTTGTGCTTGAAAAGCTTCTCATAAACCCCATTCATCTCCGCAAAGTTATCCATAGTTGTCAAGAAGACATTGACCTTTACGACCTTCTCAATGCTGCTTCCAGCTTCCTTGAGAACAGCAGATAAGTTCTTGACGCAGAGCTCAGTCATGGCAGAGATGCTTGAAGTCTCCAGTGTGAGGATCTCGCCTTCGGGTGTGCATGGAATTTCTGTAGGAGAAGGGTTAGCATAGAATCCAGGGTAGGAAGGAGAATTGAGGCTCAAGAGAAGAAGGGATTTTGAACTTACGTCCGGAGCAGTAAACAGTAGATGAAGTCTTGATGGCCTGGGAGTAAGGTCCTGCAGCTATAGGGTCGTTAGAATTAACGCGTAAAAGAGGTGAAGTTCCTCGAATTGATCAATATCCACAAGAATGAGAAGAGGCTTACGGAAAGCAGCATCCTTGCTGTAAACTGTAGTGAGGTCTGACATTTTGATAATTGATTGATATGATTCGAAAATTGAAGTCGAGATTGATTCTTGAAGATTTCAGTGTATGAAAATATGATTTATAGTAATTTATCTGCGAGATCGGAAGAGGTGAAGCTTTGTCGACGAGAAGGTGGGGTTGAAGCTTCACTTGGGGAGGGGCACGGTAATGCCTGCACGCCTTGCCCAAAAATATGACATGATCTAACCATATTTGGAACAGCCCGATTTCATTAACGAAAGCCAGCTTTAACGACATGTTAAGAAGTAAACTGAGATATCCCTACGAAAAATGTACAGGACTTGTCTTGCTTTGAATGGTTGTTTGGGAGGTTGATATAATGAGCGAATACCCGGTCGGACGAGTGAATGAAACGTTACCGCCTACGATATCGTATGAAAGGTGGATTTGGAGCTGGAAGTACTGCTTGTTCGGCGCATTCTGACACCTGCGAAAATGACAAATGCGATGCCAATATTTGTTCACAGATGGAATATCGACCGCTCGAACACGACTCCCGAAATAAACCAAACACAACCAAGGGGATGAAGATTAAATAGTCACCATGAACGAAAGATGGCTTTGAAACTGTCCTTTCCGCCTCACTGAATCGCATTTTTGCATTTCTATACTTCGCATATTCAATAATGGCTTTGTTGTGCAAGACTGTACCGGTATTCCAATTTCACTGGGAAAAAGAATCACTTTTCGACATTCACGAAACAAGGCTAGGGAGTTATGGTATTGCAAAGGAGACGGAGTTGTTCTATTCAACATAAATAAAATAATATCACGCTCACGAGCCACACCATGTACGATCCCGAAGCAAACCCACTCTTAAGAGATATCTCGTTGCTGGGAAATTGAAGCTAGTAATAAAATGATGTCTCGGCCGTCAAACACACGAGTTCAATAATTATGTTCCAGGAAAATGGTTGCCTATTCTCGAAAATCAATAACGACATCGGTGGCGGATCGGGGTACCTACCTTCTCAAAATTGTATCTACGCTTTTAAAGCACCGATGGCAAAATTTCGAGGGTATCCCATGCCCATTAAGTTGCATCTGTGGGAATCCTCTCTGGGCACGACAACAAGGTCTGGCCCTTGCCCTCTCTCCACTAGCCTCCTATCTCTTATGTAGGCAGTTGCTGCCTGATCTACGCGAGTCAGCTCTTGATGGTCTCCTTCGAGGAAATATCTCACATTGATTTTCCATTTTCGAATAAGCCAATACCTCTCTCCTACTTTCAACTCCACGCTCTAACATCCCAGCCTCATAGCATCCGAGACAGTCACAGAAATTGAGAGGATAACCGCAAGGATCCTCAAGATCTGGTGTAGGCAATCGTGTAGGGCGAGGGGTTGGTGGTGGAACTCGGTTCATTGGAGGGCTCGGGACGCGAGGAATGTATTGAGCTGTAGTACTGGGTGCAGGACGCTTAAATTGACGACCTTGGGATGAAGTACTATTCTGGATCTCAAGTTTCATTCCGCTACGTCGTTCACTTGGTTTCTCACGGATCGTGCGATGGGGTGATTTAATTTGGGTCGAGCCGAGGGTGCTGCGGGACGAACTTGCCTTATTCAGTTCTGACGATGAAGTAATTCGGTTTCTCTTCGAATTGTTCATAATATTGAAGGCGGTGGCATGTCTCTTCTGTTTTTCATCATTTGTTTTCTTCTCAAATTCATTGTTTTCGTTGTCAATAGCTCTAGAAGCAAAGTGAACAAATTTCTGTCTGGGAACTGGTGACCTTCGATCATTGTCGGCGGCATTGGTCAAGATAGATTTTGGTCCTCGTTGAAGGGATTTCATCTTAGTTTCGAATGGTGCCATTGTGATATTGAAGTAACAATAAGATGGTGAGTGACTTGTGCTGGGAGAAGTGTTTCCTGACATTTTGCCGTGTGGATTGAATTTATAATGATAGCAAAGGGTGGTAAATTGATGATTGGGATAGTTTGCTTGATGAATCACTTAACAGGTGATGAGCTGTTGATGGATTGTGTTGAGTCTGCTGTTCTCTTGATGAACCTGGACAGAATCATCAAGCGATGATCAAGCAGAACGAGGGTACCAAGTGTTACACACGTGATTGTGTTCCTAGGAGGTTGTTTGGATGTCTGGAGTATGTGGAATCAATCTGTTGATGGTTGTGGGATAGATTTTGATGGAAAGAAAGTAAGTGAAGGAGTGTAAAAGAAAGTGGGTTAGATGAGGGAGGAGGTGCAGCTTTTATGGGTGTTGGGTCGAAAAATATGCTGGACGCTGATTGGCGAGATGCCCCCTGCGACACATGCAGGAAGGTTTCCTCGACGGCACCCGACTAAGGCTGTCCTAGTACTCCACAAAAAGGTAAATACCAGCTGGCTATATTCCATGGGTCTGTAAGTCTCTTGAAAAGACCCGTGAGATTCTGCAGGCCTGATTCCCAGAAGCTTGACGTCGGCCGTGTACAGTTAAAAGTGCTTTTGAGTTGTTGGAAATTAAACCACTACCTTCCAGATAGCAAGTGCTCCTATAGACAAAATTTCGATTAACAAACACTGGTCTTTTCAAACTCAAATCAAGAGCATCAGCACGATTTACATCAGCTTCTTCCTCATGCCTCTTATATTGGCTGTATGAAGGGGCTATATTTGCTAACGTACCATCTGTTTCATTCACTTATGATGTAGTTTAATCATACGTCGCCCGATTAATTTGAAAGAATTGGCCGAACAAATTTTGAGTTGGACTGCTCGATAAGGACACCGAAGAATATCAAGTGATCAACTCGGAAGTGTATCAAGATGTGGTTAATCGGTCCTGTAGTACTTTCCTAATTCGCATGCCTTTTTTGATGTAATGATGTTTATATGATGACTAAATGCTCAAGAGAATTAGTTTGAGAATCATTGTTTGACTGGAACGGGATTCTTTGGATGTTTATTGTGTTGGTCCAGGAGGCCTCTCCGGGAAAGACCTAAGCTATGCTCATTGGTCGTGTGGCACTGTATCGTAGATATCAAAAAAATTTGTTGTTCCATAACCACATATCTACCATAATCCCAATCACCTATGACTAAGCACTGGCAATCTTCACTGTTATTCAGCAATGTCAGTTAGAATTCATGGTTTCGTTTTGACTTTTTAGGCAGCATTGCTTAGGTAGTCGTGTAAGACATTGCGATTGCGGCGGCCTCGCTTATGTAAGTGATGTGTAAGCATAGCAATAGTCTGTTCTGCAAGAGCATCTTAACGGGTTTTTATCCCTTAGGAGATTCGAGCAATTCGTCAGGCATTAATAAGTAAACTTTGTGGTTTGAAGGATTTAAATTTAGTCCACCTGGCCACTTTATAAATCAGATATGTCGTTGAGCCTAGCTAGCTATAGATAATTTAAAATTCCATCGAATGTTACGCAAGAAAAGATTCCAAGCCATCAATATCATCTATGGATTTACCCAGACTACCTGCAATCCCTCTGTCTATACCCTCGTCCTCTTACTCCCTACTTCCCGGTGGTAACTTAATCCCCATCTGCAAATTCTCCATCACCTTCTTTGCATTTTCAATCCCACCATCTAAATACACGGCCCCAATAACAGCCTTAACTGCCCTACTAATAGCACGCGTACTATCTTCGCGCGTGTCTTCTTTGACAAGCTCTATGATGTTGCGAAAAGATACCGGAATGTAGGGCTGAGGACGAATACATGATGCTATAGTAGGATAGGCATTGAGTGAATGACGAGAAAGAACACGATTTGTTATTTGAGCCGCTTGTGCTTTTTCAAACCAGAAGAATTAGTTTCCGGCTAAATCCCCACTCTATATATCCTCACACATAAAAAGGAAGAGCATGAGCATGGAACAGGAGAACAAGAAGAAAAAAAAGACATACCATGAGGAATACTAAACAAATAAAACTGCTCCCTCAAAACCAACCGCATAACCATCTCTCCTAATTTCGCCATCCCCGCATTTCCATCCATACATATCCGTCTTGTTGTCCCTACACTCGTAACACCGTTTTTGGGCGTCTCGAGCGCTTCTTCGAGGATATCAGGGTTGAGGAAGGAGTAGGAGAGATAGGATTGCAGGATTGGTTGCCAGTTCTTTTGGGTGGAGGGGTTGATGTGGGGTATGCCGCGGGAGGGGAGGCGGGGGATGCGGGTGGTTTTGGGGTTTGAATTTGGGTTTGGGTTTGTTTTTGTTTTTGGTTGGGTGGGGGAGGTGATGGAGTGGGAGGGGGAAATGGTGGTAAGGAGTGGGTCGTGCAATTTGTAGGATGGGGTTGGGGTTGGGGAGGGGGAAGGGAGGTGAGAGTTTGTTTGGTTTAGGTGGGAGTTTATGGGGAAATTGGGACTAGGACTAGAGAGAGATGTAGTGGAGTAATTTGAGCTACCAATACTACGAGGTAATGGTGTAGTAATACTAGCTGAGGAAGCGCAGCGATGAAATAAAGTATCTTCCTGATCGACATCGTGAAAGGGATTAATTACCCCCGTATTCTCTTTATAATCTTCCCATTCTTCGGGTTGGTGAATCCCGGTATTGATGGGTTTTTCCATGGTATTGTGAACAGGTTGGAAATCTTTAGATTGTGCTGTTTGAGTGTGTTTGTTTGTGCTTGTTGTTCTAGATATGTTGGGTGTGGATAGGGAGGGGGTTTGCGGAGTATTGCTAATGTGGAAGATGGGCTTTATGTCTTTTATGGTAGGGGATGCGTTATATATGTCACATGTCCCGTTGATAGTTTTCTGTAGGTGCTGCACCAGTTGACTTCATTTGTTATTCAGGAGGGTCATCAGGACTTCAAAAGTATACATTCAGAGAACTGAACTGGGGGAGGTGAATCATGGAATAATTAAACATTTCCTTTATTTTTCCTCTATAATCACATATATGGAAACCAGCACACCACAAAAATAGATTCGGAGAATCAAAAAAAATATCTAGTTTATAATAAACAAATAGGAGAATACTGATATTGTGATTGTGATTGTGAAAACAGGAAGTTGAAAAATTTAATCTTTCGCTCTCTCTCTCTCTCTTTCCTCTTTTTTTCCATTAATATCCCCAAGCATCCTCTTTTCCAATCTTTTCTATACTAAAAGCTAGGTAATCCCTAAAGGGTAGGGGTAGAGAACTAATAAATTAAATATAATACTATTAGAAACTACTTGGGTATTAAACTAGGCCATTCATAAGATCTTACAATAGCAAGTATTCAGAATAGTGGGTTTGTATACATCTATCTATCTATTTGAATAAGGTATTGTAACCAATTCATTAGTTAACTAGAGAAACCAATCCAGATATCCTTATTCGAATCTGTTATTTCAGTATTTGAATAGAATAACAATTGAACTGTTGAATTTGAGGTTCTTTTATTTTTTGAGGGAGCTGTTTGTTAGGTAGTACTCCTACCGGAAAGCAACACCTCATCTCCAATACAGGATCAAGGTTGTATTACTCTTCCGATTTCTTGCTTGTTGGTACTAAGTATCAATTTTCTCATGGGGATATTGATTATACAACCGTAAATGGTATGAGATTAGATTAAATGTTGGATATCACTTGGATGTGATATCCGTTGCTTTTGATAGAAGCTGAATATATGTACAAATATTACCATGCCACCTCTGAGGCAGCAAGATTGTAAGACTCAAGTTCGACTTGAGAACTAGAAGTTTATTCCGTAAGATGTTACATTTTGAATAATAATTCTTGACTTGGACATCCGATGACAGTAGCGAAGAATCCCATGGATCGTCCCTCACATCACGAAAACCCAATATCAAGACTCAATAAAGCAATGCCTAACCCATAACCGACTCCATCCCTCATATCACCAGTCGTCAATCGTCTAATAATTCCCCCTATACCGACTCGAAGTCATTTCTCCCGCATTTGCAAACTCCGTTTTCTCCTTTGTAGGGACGCCCCCGGGATAATTATTTCCTTTTCTACTCTGAGGCACCGTGCTCGCATCTGCAGCTTCTGGTTCTGCGGCATATTTCTTTAGATCTGCTAGTGAGACCACGTCTCTATTTTCGTTAGTTTGTTTCTTATGATTCTGTTTTTTTGGCTTTGGCATTTGCTAATCCATCTTCTCCATCTATTTCCGATTGTGCTATAGATCGACCCAAGGGGTGGAGTTTTTAAGGAGGAAGGGAAAGTATATGTTTCGGTTGATTCGAGGTAAGGGATAAGTATAAACAAGGAAACTGACAAAGCTTTCTCATGCGTAGCATGTAAATGCACTTTTGGCACTAAATCCTTCTCACTAGAATTTTTCGCTGCTTCCATTGCTTCCTTCCAGCGACTAGCACATAGACACCACTTCTTTCCTCCAGTGAGGCCAATAGTACGAAGATTATTGCCACGGGAGGCAGAGAAATCGAGAAAGCTGTCTGTTAAAGTTGCTTTGAGAAGTGTTAACCAAGATAACTACTCGGGTAAAGGTAAATGGAAAGAGAGAAATACCAGCAATGGAATGATTTCCCGTATCCTCTGGTCCAACATCACATTGTCCATTCCTATAAAATCCAGTTCCTTTGGCGAATTGACCGAGGGGTTTGTGCATTACTGTTTTCCATGTCACGTATTAATTCTTACTTCTTTCTTTCTGTTTCTATCATCCATATGCATATTCCACATACCATTAAGAGATTTATGAGCTTTGCCAAAGCTATCTGATTGACCTTCATTTGCCATTTTGACTGTTGTGGTAGAGTATAAATTAGATGATCTTAGATTGAGGTAACTTGAAATTCGAAAGATTTGTGAACGTGGTATTGATACAGAATGCATAGAAGTCTCACAGAGAAATGAATTTAATACATAAATACTGAAGTGGTGTATATTAATATGTAAGTAGTTAACAAATGAGAAGAAGTTGGAGTTGAGATGTTGATGAGGGGTATATGCACTAAGGAACGTAGTACAATCTATGACGTTGTGATTTGGAATGTTATTATAATATCAAGAACAATCTATTGTGACATTTTAAAGGTACGAAAATTTAATTGAATTTTCGAACTTGATATTCGAGAAGAGATTTGATATTTTTCCTACCGATTGTTCAGGTGCATGAATGAATTCTTTGTTGGAGGTTTCGAGGTGTTGAGAGTCCTCCGGTTATGATATCACTGCTTACATAAAAGTATCTCCCACGATTCACGATTCACGACTCACGACTCACACTTTCTGCTTACAGGAAAGTAAATTTCATATCAACAGGACTAACGATGAAAACTGAGTGTTCTTATCTGAAGCAAGGAATCATGCATTTGGCTTCCAATTGGTGTCGAGACCAGACCCGAAATTAGTATCAGTCTTATAGTCGCATCACTACCATGTGGGGAAATGGCCACGATATTTGAGTATTTTCAGAAGTCCTTTACATTACCAGTAAGACTATTTTGTCATTCCTACTAATTGCTTTACTCCAGATGATCATAGGAATTGAAAAGTGGTACTGCAACTTGCATAACTCAAGATACTCTCAGCTTGTCTGGCCATCTCGAGAGTGGATGCGCCTTGGTGCTTAAAGACTTCAAGGCCACTTTGCCTCACTTGGAACTCTCTATAAGATGAGTCTATGAAATCAGGACAAGGTATGGGATGAGTTTGCCATTCTCACGAGAGAGTCAAGCGCCTAGATGAGAACCAAGTGCTGAACGTTTTGAATTCCAACACCTATCTTTTTCCTCTTTAGGTCTTCATCTGTGATGATTGATACAGTAAATACGGCTTTTTTGCTTGAATGGTTGTCTATATAGATTATTTTCGAGATGAAATATGTAGTAGAAATAAAGCCAATAATGGACAGAGAATGCAAACAACTACCAACTGGCCTCTTATATATGCAAGCTTTTCTCCAGGAAAAACGAAAAGACTTGACGTTGGAATTCGAAGCAGATCCATGTTCCATTTTTCCTCCCGGTAAAAAGTATTTATATTTCAAAATTTACCCGAACGATGTGATATGAATGAGATAAAAACAAGAAATAAACCCAACGTCCTTAAAAACCATGATTATAAGTCATCCGATTCCCCACGATATCCTCCTCAAAACCCCAAAACCAGAGCCATCTAAGACAACAACCTCATTCGCAGATCTACTTCTTATGCGAAAATTGTCACTTGACACCACCATACCAGAAATCAAAGTAATAAGTCTTACCTGGTGCTCTCATGAGACTTTTAACACTGGTATATATCACTCACTCTAATAACTAATTGGAACGATTTCTCCTCCTAGGAAACCCATCACATCCATCACATATATCACCCCGCACTTCATATATCTGGGGGTGCCACCATGCCCGTGAAAAATTGTGGAGGGGTCCACCGCTCCCATCCACTAACCACCTATTACACCCATTACCACAATTCCACGCCACCAAATAACAAAAACCCAAAAGCAACTAATTCACTCAGAGACATTTCATTTATTCCTTCATTCCTTCTTTCCTTCCCTTAAATTTCTTGGAAATAAAAATCTCGGTCACTTACGCAAAAGTAGGTAGGTATCCGTCCGCACGTGGTCGAAATCAGTAAATCAATCGTGACGTGCATAGTCACTTACTTACCTACTTACTTGTACCTACTGCGTAAAGATTACCGAGTATTTATTTATGTTTAGTATGCACGTAACCTATTCCAAGCGTTACACACGAGGCAGTGATCGATTGTCTGCATCAGCATTACATTTTTGAAGAATAGGAAAGAAAAAAAGAATGTTGGAAATCTAGATCATGATGACCCCCTCGTTTATGATCATGCGAATACAATACTAATAGTTATTAGGTAGGTAGGTAGGTAGGTAGGTGTCTATAGTATCAAAGAACTTACTAATGAATGAAGAGATGAGATTATTAAATTTAACGAAAACATCTGAGCATTTTCAAAATAGAAAATTAATTCGATTGACTTGATCCTCTCTTTCATTTCGTTCCCAAGAAGGTCCTCGTCTCGTCTCGTTTCGTCTCGTCTTGTCTCTCATCTCGTTTCACTCATTCATTCCTCCCATCCTTCCTATATGCTACTGGTGTACCTACCAACCATAAAGTAATTATTTATACATTTATACACATTACCCTCCTAAAATATACATAGCACATCCCCCTCCCAGACAAAAGCACGAAGATCTCAAGGCGAGCGAACGTCCTTTGTAAGATCAAAGAAATAATTCAAGTAATAATCTGCAACTTCAGCAGGTGCTTGTCATGCCAGAAATAGGCACGGATATTCAGGGACCCAGGGCACGCCAGCCATCCGTATCCTTTTTAAGCCCCCCCTCTAACCCCAAAGGATCGTCTCTTAGGTATTTAAGGCAGGGCTTCACGGACTACTTTTCCCGGGTCCGCCAAAATTCTTGGAAATAATGGATTTTGGAAATGGAAATAGGTATGCGATAAATTAATGTGTTTGCTGAATTCATTCATGCTTTACTAAATCAATCACTGGCATGAATGATAACTTTTACCTGTCCAAGTAACAAATCAACCTTTTTGTTACGTAGAACTATTCCCCCACGCATCTCTTGTACTCTGTAAGATTACAACTTCTGTAATACCAACAACCCCAACAGCATATCATAGTACACAAGTTATTGGAAACCCCAGATCAGCGAGAGGAAAGAAACGCCAATCGAGATTTGATCGCACACCCCACTTTCGATGGTGAGTGAGTGAGATGAGTGAGCGAGTGATAACTTATTATTATAAGCTCAGACTGTAAACCCTTAAAAGGAAATAAAATACCTACCTACACCTAGTACTCTAATTAGTAAGGTAAGTGTCGGTTGACGAGAGGACGAAAAACCACTCGAGCTATTCATTTTCTCCACGCGCTCTTGCAGAGATAATAATAAATAACAATAATAAATAGTAATAATAATGGGATATTCGGTCGTTGCTGAATATATACATACATACCACTGCCAGACGGGACTAGGGTTTTACGGGCCGAGGCTTCAAACATGGATTAAGAGGAGGAAGGGAAGGGAGAGAAGGGAAGGGAGACGGGGATTTGTGCAGAAAGATTATTGTTGATCTTGAAGATTATACTGCGTGATGGATATACATATCAGTCGAGATTATAGGACATCGGGATGATATTATATCGAATTTATATAAAATTCTATCTTTATCTTCGTCTTTATTAACTTGGAAATTATCAAATATGGGGAGAGAAAAGGGAAAAGTAAAAGTAAAGATGGTAAGGTAAGGTAAGGTAACCAACTAATAACCTTATTAATGTGTTCTCTCCTAATATTCGGATCGATAAGGTAGGTATCTATCTATCTATCTATCTATTCAAATACTAAACTACACTTCCTTACCTACCTACATACGTAAAGTGACTTACTTTACTTTACTTTACATTGGGTACCTATCCTATGCAATGGGCCCCTAGCTAGCTAGCTGTCTGTAGGGCATCCCATTCTGCTGACGAATATAGGATAGGGTGGGTAGCACCACATACATAGTGGTGCGAAAGAATGTAAGAATGTTCTGTTGCATATGAGAACGTATGATGATGAATATACTTATTTCCTAAAGAGGTGGGTTGACTGACGGTGTGAGATTTGGTTTTCGAGAATTAATTTTTTTTCTTTTTCTTTTGGGATTTGTTCGTTGATGTAAGACTTAGGATTACTATATTATATATTTCTTTCTTCAAAAAATGAGAATGAATATTTTTACATGTACAGGTAGAAATACCTAGCTAGGTACTGAATGTTTATTTTACAACCAAGATATACCAAGATACATACATACATCCAGCGAATAGGATAGAAAACGGTCGAACAAGAACTTGGGTACCTAGGAAATGCTGATAAATAAATAAATAAATAAATAAATAAATAAACAACTTGGCCTCGCCTCGCCTCGCCAAGCTTGTCTCGTAAAGGGCTGTGAAGTAACTTCAAGTAAGTAAGTAAAGTAGATTTTGAGGCTTCCATCCCTCCTCACTCGTGATATGCTGCAGTCAGTGAGTGACTAACTGGGGCATTGAAAAAGCTTAAACACTAAGATTAATAAGACACTGTCAGACAGATACTGACATACAGTATGTAGATAAATGGCTGACCACAATATTTCTACCCCTCATTATTCATCCATCACCGAAGTTCGGATTGATTTCTTAACTTTTCGGGATGTGACGTGACGCCGAGATGCGATGGGGAAAATTGGGTTACTTACCTCCTGACTGACTACTGCATTTTTTAAACATTTTTTAAACATTTTTTAATATATTAATATCTTTCGTCTGTCCTGATGTATAAAGACCTTGTGAGCATGAATGAGCATTGGGTTGGTTGGTTATTGTCACATTTTCATGCCCTGCCTATGGTTCGGTGAAACCGGTACTGTATTGTCGTCGGGGAGTTTTTGTTTATGCTTCTAAAAAGAGGATTTAATTATTAGTAGCGAACACCGACCGCGCTTTGCAGATAAGAATTATATATAGGAACGCTCTCGATCTATGCCACGCACAAATTATTACAGATATAACTACCAGGTCTGCAATGCTCTTATCAGTATTACCCGACGGAAAAACTCAATTACCAAGTTAGACGTAGTTTATGGTTTGTAACTTACAAATGCATCGACGGTGCATCATTTTTTACTGCCTTACTTGTTTCCTTGGTGTAACGCTAGTTCGACAATGCCAACGAGCTGTCCGGAATATGGTCCAGTGCACTGTGTAAGGCTAAATATCCTCCATCCGAAACCTTTCTGGGTCATGGACTCATGGCAATTCCGAATATTTTCAAAGGTAAATTTCCTGGGGCATTCAAATGGAATCGGCATTTATGGGTTTCTTGGGTTCTCATGTGGAGGGGAAAAAGAAAGGATTAAAGGCGCCATCTCAATCATCTCGTTTTCTGTGACTGGGTGGTTCAGCAGGTCCAATGACAGGCAGACTGGGGGCAGAAAAAGCCATTATGAACGAATCGGGAGAAACCAATCCTTTCCTTGTCTTAGATTGGGTTTTCCGAACCTTGTATTTTGAATAACTCGGGCCTTGAAAAGAGAAATGCAGATTTTCAAAAGGTTAATGGTCGAGATGAACAAGATTAATCAATACCTAGTAATACCTCTCCTGACCTTTCCAGGTGGGATAGATGTGTTTGAGCTGGTTGTAGAATCATTCGGAGGTTTTGATTTCCAACGATGAATACCAGAAAACCATCCAAACTATCCCTGTTAGGTGCCAACGATAATTCGGATCTAGAATCCTTGAATGGGAATCGTTCAAGTCAGGTACAGTTCGGCAGCAGTGCAGTGCAGTACAAACGATTTAAAGATGGCTACCGTGGATACCTTACCTTAAATAAGTCTCATCTCAGGAACTCCCCAAAAGAAGAGCTGAAGGTTGTGTTCGTTGTTCTTGGCCTGATACAGTAAGCGTAATAATCGTAAAATACCATACGAGATCTGACGGATCTTTATAAGCGGCCGTCAGCAGGATCTTTGAAGCTCTCGTTCAATTTCTTTGGCTCTTGTTGAAACAAATCGATTTATAGTTGGGCCGTCTTTCCACAGTTCGTTCGTTACTTGATTGCTTGATTCGAGAGAAAGAGGGTAGAGAACTTTCTTTGAAATGTAAGAAAGATGGGTCAATGTAGATAATACCCGAGATATGTGAAAGAACCGAACCACCCACCAAACCAAAGATTGACGGATGTTGTAGGGTAGACAGCCGGAAAGACGCAGCAACGATTGTGGAGCATGCCTATATAAATACAGGATGGATGGCTCAACAATCTGAATGAACTGAGGACTGAGGACTGAGAATTGAGTTTGGAAATTTAGCTTTTAAAGGGTTTATACATTTCATGGGGACCTTCATCCTGTTGTACGAAAAGAGAATTAAAGTAGCATTGAATGGGGTTATCGAAAACCTTATATAAATAAAGTTCGGTTTCATGGTCCAGTGTCTGTTACCCTCATTTTTGCCACCAACGGGCGTTTTCTTCAATAAGTTAAGTTTGACATTTGCCCTATAAAATTATTATTTGGATGAGGAGCTGTTGTACAAGATTCGGTCACTTGTATATACGTACATAGGTACTAAAAGACCAAGAAGAAAGACCAAGAAAGATGCCCCAAACATACCTATAGAACCTATATGGTAATCACATTTTGCCAAATGACATAGGATGCATCCTTACTACAAAGTAAATGGCTCTAAAATATCTAAAATACCTGAATAAATATCCCTGTTCATGTTGCAACCAAAACCCCAGTCAGAAAATTGCACGGGAGTGTCATGTACGGAAGTACTAGGGAAGGAATGTGGTGTAGAATAATACTCCTAGAGAGAGGATAGATGGAGGAGTGACTGGATTTTGAGACTGACTGACCTCAAAGAAATCAAGGCCACCAGCTAGCAAGAACTTGCACGACGATAATGACAACCAATTTAATAATCCATGAAAGCATGAAAGAGCGGTATAAAAGAAATCATTAAAATTCTCTTGTTCTCCCCCCCTTTCTCAGTTCATGTTCTACCTTTTTCTATCTTTTCTCCATCAAAAAATATATGAGAAAGCCATACTCCATACAATACAATGCGGTCAACATTGAACACCCTCTTTATCTACCTGGGTAATACTAATAATACTGTACTACTTTTCTTACTTTCCAGCTAAATATTAAAAGAGGATCCCACAATTCTTCAGAAAGCCAAACATCCATACAATTATATCCACGCTTTTCCGAATCATCCCTAGTCGCATTAGTTTGTGCGTCTTGTGCATCTCCAAGTTACAACGAATCAAAAAATGATCAGAGGTGGAGGCGAGTTATCCCAAATACCCATACATGCTACCCATACCATACAACCCATAACCCAGCCCAGCCAGACCCAGTTTAGCTTCTCCAACACAAAGGGCTGTTCATGTCTCTCCGAACTTCCTTACCGTAGAGATTCCTACGGCTTCACTCTTCTTCTAACTTCATCACGGAATTGATTGTGAATTTGATTCATTCATACCAAATAATTGTTACGATTCTATTCTATATGTGACCCAAAATTGATTCATTCATTCGAAATTGCTTAAACATTCAGAGCGGTCAATTTTTATTGCCTACGGAATCATAATCATTCACCCTTTTTGTACGGTAGATGAATTTGTGATTCGACTTCATGCTGAACGTCATTTAAAAAGGATCCCTGGCCAGAGCCAGAAGAACGAGAACGAGAACGATCGAACTATTCTATAGTCTACGAGCATTACCATCATACGAACAAGATCTTCTAACATTCTACCATTTTAAACCGAGTTGTTCCGTTAATGGCCAAAATGTCTCCCTCGTTAGATATCCCTCAAGCGGGCTTAAAGCTTGAGAGTAACCCTCCCTCCAACAAGTCTGCTACAAATATTACACCTGCTATCGGCTTGACTTTGAGCGATGGAATGATTGAGGACATGATCAAATGTTTTCAAAATGGAAAACCAATAGAATTATCGTTGGGTGGAAGTCCCGTAAGAGAAACCCCCCCATGGCTTCATTTACATTTGGTAGTCGGACCTCGCCAGCGTACGGCGTGCGGCACCAATTGTTCAATTTGAAAGACAATGACAATAATTTTCTCCATCATCTACATAGAAACAATTGCTAATGGACTGTCATTCCGCAAACTAGAATTTAATATATGGCAACAAATCTCACATCCTTTCTACCTACCACGATCCATTTCAATACGAAGTATTCCAGACTGCGGATCCCCACGATACGACCTCGGATATGTCGAAACCAGAGACACTGACTGAGCTCAAATTAGCCCACAAGAAGTTCTCGGGACCCGGGGCGCAACCTCGTTACAAGGCGGACAACTTTAAGGCGAGTAAGAAACCTGCTCCCGCAACTGCAGGGGAGGATACAGCATTGGAAAATTTGAGGGAGTCGATGGCTACCGCTCAGGCGAAGAAGGACGGAAATACGTGAGTAGTGACTACATTGTTACGATTGGACTTGCGTACTAATCTGAATAGTACAAAAATCATCAATCAGGTACCGGGGAAACGAGGAGCGGCCAAGGTTACGACTAAGTCGAAATTTTTGAATAAGGGGCTCGGAAGCGATACGGCCAGGTCGATGCCAGTCAGCCCCGCTCTCTCTGGGCTGGGAAGTCCAGCTCAAGGTGTGACTAAGTCTCTTTCCCAACAACAGGCCGAATATGCCAAGAGCAGTAGAAAGCCAGTAGTCCACCTACTTGCCCTCGAACCAATGACCGAGAAAGAACTCAACAATCGAATACCTGGGCCGAAAGATGATCTGAAGCAGGCAATGTCGAAGGTGGGGGATCTCAATACATCGACTGGAAAATGGGAACTCCGTAAGAATTACTACAAAGAGCTTGATGTGTTCAATTTCAAATATGGAAGCGATGCTGAGCGTCAACGAGCAATTGATAATGCGGTTAAGGTTTTTGATAAGATGAGATTGGGGCTTTCGGAACCTGAGTGGGAAAAGCTATTGCCTAAGTCGGAGCGTGGCACCGGAAAGTCTCTTAGCAAGCTACAAGCTCAAATCGCCAACGGTCCCGTCGCAAAATCGAAAGCCAACGGAGACGATGAAGACGTGTTTGGCGATAAAATGAGTTCAAAGGTCAAAACAGAAACTACATCTAAATCAGCTTCAGGACCACCAGCAACGAAGACCAAAAAACTCAGCGAGAAGAGCTCAGCAAAGATACTTCTAGATCACCAAACAGCAGCAGCTACCATGAGGTCAAAACCAGCAAAGAAGGAAGCCGAAAAGCCAAAAGCATCAGCGGCGAAGCCTTTATCTTCTCAGTTGTTAGTGAATCTGACGACGAAGAGGTTCCAGCAAAGAAACCCCAAGTTACCAAGGCTCCCATTAGGAAAGATAAGGCCAATAACAAACGTCTTCGCAATGAGGAGATGGACTCTAGCGATTCGAGCCTACCATTGAGTAAGAAGACAAAGAAGGAGAATATCAATTCACATCGAGTCTCAGATGCTAGTCAATCCTCCCGTCCTAGTTCCAATTCTACGACTTCCTCGTCAAACTCCTTCAAAGGAAAAGCGAACTCTCCACAAAAATCCTCACCTTTAGCTTCCTCTCCACCAACGAATGCATCAGACTTCGAACATACGTCTTCTGGTGATCGATCGTCATCTTCCGCCTCTCCGGCTAACCATCGCACTTTGTCTAACACTCGCAACAATCGATCACCAATTCACAAACGTCACCAGAAATCGTCTAGTGTTGCCTCATCAGTTTCATCTACCGGTAGTACCCGTCATTTGAGACCTGGTGTATTGGATCTGGCTCAAAATTACAAAACATTCTATCCTATCTATTTAAAGCTTCATAATGAATTGGCAACATCGAAAGTCAAAAATCCTACGGAAGAAGAAAACCTTCTCGCGATGCATGAGCGCTTGAGCGACTTGAAGAGACAGATCTTGGAAGGAATCATTGAAGAATAAAGGAGTCTCACACAGTTTCTTCCTATAACGACGGCTTGGCTTTACTATGAAGTCATTAATCCGCCACTCATCACACATAAAATCATCAGCTAAAATGGCAGTTTCGACTGCAATTCTCTTTTCTATCAACTGCGAATACACTATACTACATAGTTAAATCGACATATTCTCGGCGTTTCCTCTAATTTTCTACATACGGAGTCACACGGGCATTTACCACGGCAATCAAAACCGGATACTTTCTACCTTTCAACCATCATTTGCATTCTTGTTTACAAAATTTGATTTTTTCTCCATGGATGGAGTTTCAACTAAATACCCTTTGGGAACGGACACGGATGGATTCGGCGTCTTTTTCCTTTTCTTTTTCTTAACCTTGTTGAATTAAAAGGAGTTTCTGGGTACCTGGTTAAAGATATGCCTTGGGATATAAATGCATCGGCATTTTGCGTTTTATTTGGTGTGGCTTGGGGTTGAATTTGGGAATGGGAATTGGGATGGAGAATTTAATATTTTCAATGATTGGGAGATGATTGATATGCGGTTACTGCACATATGGGGTATTGCATGTGGAGATGGAGTGGAAATGATAAGAAAGATGTTATAAGAGACAAAATAAAGATACAGAAAGAGATACAGATGAATATGGGGATGGATTGCATAGCGTAGAAACTAAGAGGGAGAGAAAGAGAGAGTGTGTGAGAGAAATGGTTTTCAAGATGCAAGTCCTTATAGCAGAAACCAGAACAAGAATTAAAGATTAAATTTTAATAATTTATGGATTTCTATGTGCTATGATGTGGTTTGTAAATGTTTATGTGATGGGATTGATGGAGAGGAATATGATGTGATGTGATATGATGGTTCTTACCTGGTAATATTCGATATAATCTTATCTTATAAAGGTATATAATTCTCCATTTTCCATTCTCCATTCTTCATTCTTCGGACCAGAACGTAAAGAATAGAGGACAGAATAGAGCAGAGTTGGGAATAAACAGAAAATACCTAATAGATGGTTGGTGTGTGCAGGTAGCATGAATAGGAAAATCAAGCAGTAATAAGTAGTAAGTAGTAAGTAGTAAGTAGTAAGTAGTAAGTAGTAAGTAGTAAGTAGTAAGTAGTAAGTAGTAAGTAGTAAGTAGTAAGTAGTAAGTAGTAAGTAGTAAGTAGTAAGTAGTAAGTGGTAAGTAGTAAGTATTGAGTTTATAGTTAGATAGGTACACTAGGTAGTATACTCGATTCGTTAGAGATATTGAACACATAGTTAGATTAAATATAAAGAAACTTGGGAGATTTCCTTTTATGCTTTATGCTTTGAGGGTTACTGGCTTGGTGGAAGGGTGGAAGGGTGTTGCAGTATTAGTTTTTTAGAGTCTATAAATTAGAATAGAAATGAAGGGAATGGAGAATGATGGGGGATAGGAGTAGAAGAGAGAGATGGGAATGGAGAGAG